ACTACAACACCGAGCTTCAACTGTCTTCTGAATACGAATCCCAATTTATTGCCAAATCAAATGGCTATACTAGCACTGTCATTCTTGCCAGCCACCTGAGGTACCAGGTTCAAGAGAGAGGATGCTCCATGCCGATTTGCTACCTGTGCATTAAAAAGACATTTCAAGCTCACTCTTTAACCCTCCCAAACACAATTCTAAAAAATCTTATGTAAATAGAGTTGGGCTAAAACCATGTTCCTCCAGTTTCCAAGGTGTCTCAGACCCAGGTTCCGCATGTTGCTCAGACACTCAAGTCCCACCATTTACTCAGCCCTGAAGCACCTTTTCAGAGCTGGATTCGAGTCCTCCAGGAAAGCTTAGTTAGAGTAAGTCTTCCTTCAATGGGTTTGCAGCAAATGAAAGATGAGGAACTCCTAGAGAGGCTCCAAAGGAGAGCTACAAAGATGATCAGGGGACTGGAGCATCTCTCCTACGAGGAAAGGTTGAGGGAGCTAGGCTTGTTTAGCCTGAAGAAGAAAAGAGTGAGAGGGGATCTCATAAATACTTACAAATATCTCAAGGGTGGATGTCATGAGGACAGAGCCAGACTCTTCTCAGTGGTGCCCAGCAACAGGACAAAGGGCAATGGGCACAAACTGAAACATAAGAGGTTTCAGTTGAATACAAGGAATAACTTCTTTACTTTGAGGGTAACAGAGCACTGGCACAGGCTGCCCAGGGGGCTTGTGGAGTTTCCTTCTCTGGAGATACTCAAAACCCGCCTGGACAATGTCCTGTGCAACCTGCTCTAGGTGACCCTGCTTTAGCAGGGGGGTTGGACTGGATGATCTCCAGAGGTCCCTTACAACCCTTGCCATTCTGTGATTCTGTGAACAAAAATTAATACCAACCAGTTGCACGTAAGGAGGAACAAAGTCCTATACCCCATCCTTCTCTCAGAGACTCCTGGCTCTGCTCCAAAAGCCTTCTTTGCCAACCTGGAGCTAATGTTTAACCTAAAAGATGCTGTCGTATATGGCAATGCTTATGGAATCAAGAAGTTCATTGCATCTGATGTCATTCGTCGTATCAATATTTGCCAAAGGCTTAGTCCTATTATTTAGATAGTTTTATAAACAGCTCTGTGGCATTCTGCAAGTAACATTTTAACCAAGTCTATCCTCTCTTAAGCCTCTTTATTGAATAAGCAGAGCTCTGTCTGTTAATTACATAGAATTGCCTTAGTTCAGTAGTGTTCACTGGCAAAGAACGTCCACTCAAGAATACTTTTAACAACAACAACAAAAAAAACCCCACTAACAACTAAATCCACAGTTTTTTCCTGATGGTGCCTGTTGCTGGAAGGCAATAACAAGAGAAGTGCTGACACCTACAGGGCAAGACATTGGGGTGTCTGGAAACCTCAGCCCACTAAGTCCTACTGCATCACACACACTGTACAGTCCAGTTACACAGGCATATGACTTCAGAGTAGGGCAGCTACCTGATCTGATTTAATTTTTTAAAATGATTAGAGTAATATCTTGTCGTCACTCATTTTCAAAGCATGTTTATACAATCGAATGAAAATGCAATCCAGGCCAATTCACATTGATTGTTTGAAGGATTTCAGAGAGCTGGAAAAATAAACCATGTTCTCCTCCAGTTCTATTTCTACTCCCTCCTAACGTTCTCGGCACCTCTCATTTCTGTGTCTAACTTCTTTCCCAGATTTTTTGGGGTAGGAATGGTCCCTTAGGACTTGTAATTAAGGGGTTCATTTCCATTTCTCTATTCTGCAAGAGTGACCTCTAGGATACAACACATCAGACAGACACTTTCCCCCTTCTCCCAGGACTTTTCTAGACTATTATTCCTCCCCTCTTCTCATCATTAGCTTCTTTTCATTTCCATTTCTGTTCCCCAGTTGAATATATTCCTGTTCCCCAGCTGAATATATTCCTTCTACTGCAAGAAACTCCTTACGCTCAACAACACTGGGCCAAGACCCTACTCACTAAACCTCGTGGCTTATATACACGCTGTATGTGTCACAGGCTATACACACCTGCCAAAGGCTTCAGACAAGGAAAAACCCCTCATAAACATTATTAATAACAGGAAAGATGTCAGCAGGGATTCAGGGTTAGGTTTTGCACACATGTGACAAGCACAGCATACAGCAACCACAAGGGATGCACAGAGTAGCCACAGGTAAAAAGCTGAGGCTGTGGTGCAAAAACCCACAGGAAACAAAATGTCAAGAAGAAAATGGGCATCACAAAAAACAGGACAGCTTTTCTGTCTGTAGAAGGAAAGCAAGCAAAAGCTACAGCCCAGGAAAACCAAGTTCAAGTCCTATGACAATAAAACCGTAAAAGAACTAAACCCTTGTTCATTTACAAGCAAAACGGTGGATAGGTTGAAAGAAGACGAACATAAACCCCGCTGTTCTCAAGTGATATTATCATCGATTCCTACAACACAGGAGCAGTTCAGAAGACACAATGGAACCACCTACAAAAGCCTTGCAACAGATCCCTTACAGTTTCTCATGGTGCTTTTTTTCAGCTAGGATGATCCTACAGGTACATTACATCTAGAAATAAAGGATTCGGCCAGTTCATTAGCATTTCTCTCTTTCACATGGGGAAAAAACCCCCAAACACAATAGGATAGAAAAGTCAATAGGAAAGCAGCCAGCTCTGAGGCCAGGAAATCTGGTTTGCTGCCCAGTAACCACCAAAAAACCTTCCAGTACTGACCTACATAACAGAACCATGAAGGAAAACTCACCACTGTCCGGCAGCCACAGCAGAAGCAGCGCTGTGGGTTTCTCAGCAGCAAAACTCACCCCCAGGGCTTGAGGCCACAGAAGCCGTTCAGTGCTGCGGGACGAGGAAAGCGGTAAATTCCCCCACGCCAGACACCAGCAGGTAAGACAGAACCTGGAAGTGCATCAAGTTGCTGCGGCCACGCGCCTCCTCGCTACCGTTCTCAGCAGCATCCCTACTGCTCCGGATCACCCCCACCCACCCTCTCCTCCTCCAAGGTCTCAGTCCTCAGCACTTCGCTGCTGCCCTGGGCTCTAACCCCAGTCTTCTTGTGGCTATCAAGTTTTCTTGTCACGGGCTCAAAGTAGCTGGCACTGCACAAAACCCACATTCATAAAGCTGGGCTGATCCTGGTAGTTCGGTAGCAATGAGCTATGTAGTTTTACAAAACTCTGTAGGGCTGTATTACTGGCTGTATGCTCTGCTATACTAGTGTTCTCCAAACCCACAATTTGAATTTTGTCCAGCATTCGACACTGCCCTACTTAAAAAAAAAAAGTGTATAAAATCACTTCATGCACTTTATAATAATCAGGAGGGCAGAATAACGGAGGTTGAAAAGCACCTCAGGCAGTCCAACTCCTGCTCAGAGCGAGGTCAGCCGTGAGATCAGAGGAAGTTGCTCAGGGCTTTAGCCAGTCTGTTTCTGAAAACCTCCATGGATGGAGGCTGCACACCACCTCTGGGCAGCCTGTTCCAGTGCCTGACCGTCTTAATTGCAAAAAAAGCTTTTGCAGGGAAAAAAACCCCAAACAAATAAGCAGTTTAAGAAATTATATTGCTGTAGTACAGAAAGATACTAGGAGAAAACATGGGTCACCTGTGCACCAATTTTGAGGTTCTATCATAGTGCTGCTTGGACTCAGAACATAAGTTGTCTTTGGAAAGGGTAGAAGGGAAACCAAGGGATGGAGGGGGGAAACCTAGAGGACATACAGGACCTATATCCATAATGTAAGGAGAGAACGATTAAACAAATTAGGCCTCCGCTAATTTGCAGGAATCCAACATCAGTATTCATTACAGCCAACATAAACTAAGGCCTCCACCATCCTATTTGCATTGTTGATACTTTTGTTTCAATTCTGTGAAGCTGTGCAGAATCACCTAACAAAAGAATCCAGGATACGAGGGGTTACCGCCAACCCTAAAGCCTGCATTTCCTATCTCACTGCAGCCCCACAAGCACTTTACATCTCTGAGCCCAGCTCAATTCCTAAAGCCTGCCCAGGTCCAGCTCACCAGCAGGCCCATTTCCAAAAGGCATCTTGTACCAAGTAGTTCCCAAGCAAGTGAACTTGATTATCAAAGTCACCCAGAGCCATCTTCAAGAAGCATTAAAAAGCTTGGCTTTGCTCCAGGGGATGAGGGGGGAGGATTAACAATAAAACCAGATACATTTCATCCATGGTCCAAAAGGAGCCTCAAGCTCTATCACGATGACAAAGCTAGAGGCATGCATTTAGAGTATTCAAGTGGGAAAAAAAGGACTTGGGGTCCAGGGGAAGGAAAAAAAAAAAAAAAAAAAAAAAAAAAAAAGAAAAAGAAAAAAGAAAAAAGGTAGTTACATACACATTCTCCAGAAAATCTGAAATAGAATAAAGTAAAGGTTTAAACCCAAGGAGGAGGTTATTAAGTCAAGTTACATACACATTCACCAGAAAATCTGAAATAGAATAAAGTAAGGTTTAAACCCAAGGAGGAGGTTATTAAGTCAGACCCTCTGCAGTTGTACTGCCAAGATAAATCCTGGGCCTGGATCAGTTTAAAGAAACAAACAAATGACAATTTTGGTCTCATTTCTTTCCAGTTCCCAATCAAAAACATCTTTAGTCAAAGACAACAGGTAAGGCACTACATGCACAAATGCCTTCAAATACCCAGTATCAAACACTACAGGCTTAGATTGTGGCCAAAAGAGGAGACAAAGCGTGCATCATGCTCTTGAACTTTCCCTTCCTCTTAGAGGTTAAGCATACAGCAGGGAGAAGACTACACTGGCGCTCAGCGACAGGAGAAGGGGCAATGGGCACAAACTGAAACATAAGAGGTTTCAGTTGAATACAAGGAAGAACTTCTTTACTTTGAGCACTGGAAGAGGCTGCCCAGGGGGGGTGTGGAGGCTCCTTCTCTGGAGATATGCAGGGGGGGTGGACTGGATGATCTCCCAAGGTCCCTTCCAACCTTTGCCATTCTGTGATACACTAAAACAAGGGGGTTCCACTGGTAAAATGGCATTTCTGCCAAATTGCATGCATACGGGAAAAAAAGGTACTTCGATGACATTTGGTAGTCTTGAGCACTACAGTGAGAGAGTGACATTTTAGTGCTGTGCCCAAGAAGAGAACTACTGCACGTGAAGGATTCTGCACATGGTTTGACCTACACCACAGTTTATTTGTAAACATTTGTTACATGTGCCAATAATTTAATTGAACACAGACTTTGTACAATTCAATGTATAATATTAACAATGTCACACTAGAAGAGTGCAACTGTATTCCGTTACAGTCATACTTTAAAACCTTCAAAATACAAATTATTTGGAACACTGAACAAGAAAAATTTGAGAACAATGATGGAAAAGAGAACTGTGAAATAATGTCATGATCAAAAAACCTGAAAACAAACATAGCGCACTTTCTAGTTGGCTCCTGAACACCTTCAGGTATATCCACCTAGGCTGACTACTACTTGGGTTGTGCCAGAGCACAAAACCCACCTCTCTTCTGCAAGTTAAAAACCTTGCTGAAGACAGAAACTTAGAACAGCTTTACAATGTGTAATGTGTGTGATTTTCCCCGCTGTCAATAAAACTACCTGAAGAAAAGAAATTGATTTAAGTTGTCTTTATTTGCAATACAATATAAAATATTCTTTTGGTATTAAGATCTTTGAGATCTTACTTTTTTTACACCATATTTAAAACAAAAGTCACATACTTCGAGTAAAGCCTCTGGACCATCCCAAGCACTGGAGCTGTAGTAGAGTTTCAGGTATTTTATGGACTTCTTTGGTTGCAATCTATTCAGTAAACTTCAGATATGCAGACTTGAACATTTAAGCTCCTAAACTAGTGTTGAAGCACCTACATTAGAGTGCCTTGAGTTCTAAAATCCTGCAACATACCTGGAATTCTCACATTAACTGTAAGATTTATGGGTATTAAACAACTCTGATAAGCAGGCTACTTTTATTGAGAAACTTTACTTTAAACAACCTAAAAACAAAGGGTATCCTTCACTTAGTAACACTGAAGAATAAGCAGTGAGAACAAGAAATTTTCATCCATTTTCAAACGTCCATACAACTTGCGCTATCATCACTTTACATACTAGCATAGACAGTGCATGGTAAAATTCGATACACCAGCCTAGCTCATCTACAACAGCTCACCGTAGCACTTAAAGTAACATCTATAGTACTGAAAGTGTAAGCCATCACCTAACTCCTTAGTTCCTCTACAGTGCTAGACATTGGCTTAATCTCCACATAACAATTCTCACAGTAAAGGTTTCCTCTGCCACTTCTAGAAGAATGACATCTAATGCCTCTTCAATTTCTTTTGAAGGAAATAAGGCAACTTAAAAAAAACGCTATGGAGAGTATGCACATCCAGTACAAAAGTCACTGTGGTGTAAATGATCAACTTTATATAGATAATCTAGCTCTGTAATATACACAGAATACTACGTTCAGCTGCTGTTGGTAAAATACAAAACCAAAACAGATGTAAGAAAGCAGCACTGAGCAAACTGAAGTACTACAGACTTCCAGTTTCATAGAGCGCAAGTCCTACACTTACACTTTAGGAATGTACATAAAGCAAAGGAAAAGAATGGAATTTTCACAGTTGTAACTGAAGCCACTGCATTATTCTATCGTGGTATGTTTGTCCTTTTCAGACTTCTGTCATGTTTTTTCTTACAGCCATACAGAACAGGATACAAACCCAAATGTTGCCATTTTTCTCCTGCTGTTGTCCAGCATCATCTATGCCACAGTCTTGGTCCGTTATTTATTGTAGGCTAGTAATGACAGGATGGTTCAGTCTCATTTTTAATTATGACTATTTAAAACAAGGCAGTTCAGTAAAGATGAGAGTTGGCAGAGTAGTTTGGACAGCTGGGTTAAAAGTCTTAACGTTTACATCTCCTGCTCTCCTTGTGTGCTAAATGGGACAGACCTTTTTTAAGCTGGCAAAAAGTTGTTCATGCCTAATATAAACAAAGTGAAATCATGCTACATGAAATCATCCCCTACAAATAGAGCCAGAACATGATTTTAGATGAAACAGCTCACTGTTAATGTTTGTCATAATCAGCAGCTAATGGTTCAAGGAAAACAGATTCAGAGAAGTCTCCGCCTACACATTCTCTGCTGTTCTTCCTTTACTAGTGACTGTCATGAAAAGTCAAGAGCTCTGTTCTTTCAAACATTAATCAATAGGACATATCTAGCTATCTACCTTAAACTCAGCTTATGAAATCAGGAGTTTTCCTACAGCAATAATCACCAGCAAATAACAATGAGGGACTAACTCCCAGCGTGATCAAATCTCAGACGCTCCTGGTTTCATACAAAGAGCAAGATGAATCCATTATCATGAAGAACCCCATGAACAGAGCCAACCACTTCAGCTCTTCCATAACTCCACACTTCCATCAAAATATGCCAGAGATGAAAGTGTACCACTCACCTTCAAAGTGGCCTTAAGTCATCAGCAGGCCTCTGAGTTTGCACTAACTCAGCCTCCTACAAGCATCAAATCTCTTCCCATTGTACTAGTTTGTCAAGGCCCCAGTGTTAAGCTGACCTTCAGAATTCAACAATTCTTAATGCCCAATATCACCACGATACTTTTTTTTTTTAAACAGTAGGTATCACTGAGCTTTCAGAGGAAGAGCTGAATCTCTTACCTTTATACTGAAAGATTTTCAGTAATACAGTACAAAACTAAACAGAATTTATGTCTGAGTAACGAACATAGAAAACTACTATTGCAATTTTGTGGTGACAGCATAGAAATTTAACAATCATCAGAAAGCCTAGAAAGGGCGTGTTTAGTTATAAAAGAAAGATTGTCTCAAGGTAAAAATAGTGCTGACAGCTAAAAAGCTCTCTGTTGCAGCAAGATATGCAGTAATGAGTAACAAGTTCTAGACTGTATAAGCATTTCCCCAATACTGCAAGACAACACATTTTTGTAACACTACTTTTACATGGGTTATGCTGCAGCAGCAGTACACTTCTTAGTGGTTGGCACTAGGAATTAACCATAATAGAAGAAAGGCATTTAGTGATCGATGCATGAGAATCTCTATTCGACCTGTTCCTTAGGTGTGGTTGAAAAAAACTGAGGAAGGGGACCATCCGTTCCATTCAGATAATACACCTTCTTTGAACATGAGATTCTTGGCAGGAAGCGGAACACCCATATCTGCAGAAATAGGCTGCAAAAGCGAACTTGAAGAACCAGCATCATGGAGCTGATCCAGTGCTGAAAGACCTTCCTAAAAGCAAAAGGAAGAAAAAATGCTGTCTTAAACAAAGACAACCAATGAAGGACTTAATACGTAGAATATGACAGACTAATCTAATCTGCAAATATGCTTAGTATTTCTGAAGTGTGTTACTTTAATCCAGCAAATACCAAATCATTATGGAATTAAACACAGAATAAACGAAGGGAAGCACGAAATAAGCATACAGTTGTCTCTGGTGTGTCTGTGCATGCATTTTTTGGCTTCCACAAAAACTTCAGGGAAGCCTGAGGCTTAAAACTGAAGGAAGGACCTAGCAAAATGAATGCAGAGCTATAAAATCTTCAGGACAGCTATCGTACTGCTATTTATCCCATACTGTGCTAAGAGTTATACATCTATTTGGAGGCACTGACTTGATCATATTTTGAGTAGTTGTATTTCATAGAAGTTTGGTTTTCTCAGCTTCAAAAACACTTCAGCACTTTCTTTTCCTCTCCATACAGATCATCATCAAGAAAAGTGTATCTCAGAGATAACATCTAAGAGATTAGGACAGGAGCCACTTGAGACTGTTTGACAGATGGTTTCAAGGCTTCAAACCTACTGGGAATCTCCAACGTTCTCATGAGGAAGCGGTTTCAGGGTCACACCATTCATAACACTACCTGGTTAAGTAACCTGCAGGTTCCTTACCTTACTGAAAAGATAGAATTTTACAGAAAAGTATCATAAGACGTAAGCAGCTGAGCAGATTCCATGTGGATATGAATGCTAGCATACAGTTCCATGCAGAATTATAGCAGGCTTCAGACCTGGCATTGCTCCTTGCCTCCTACACACTGTTCTCTCTCTACGCTCTTAAAAAAATCCCCCCAGAGTATGCAGTTTTACTTATTTATACTCATTCACCACCAAGTTCTAGATGGTCTTAGGACAACTGCAGAAAGTACACTGTTATGAAATACATGTTAATGTATTTTTTTTCCTAAGGGAACACAGTTAACTTGAGATGCAGATAAAAATCTCAAAAGATTAGCATATCCATGGTTTGCGGTAAATCTCCCTAACAAATGTAAGAAGCAACCAATTAACCAGCAGAATAGGCTGTGTTATTACAGGAGTGAAGAACAATTTTGCTGTGCAAGTCCCATTTAAAAAAAAATGAAACTAATTACACACAAGATGCAACCACAGAAGTTGAGAGAAGTATTAAATAAGGCTAGAAAAGGGATTGGGAAGTACTCACTTTTTGCTACCAGTAGAATTTGAGGTTGACAGTGCTCTTAATACAGTTACCATTTAAGGAAAAAGCAAATAAAACAAACCACATGTGTTTCCATACACCCAAGAATGGCAAGTAGGAGGGCAAAGAGGGATGATAGACCATAAAGAATGATTTACATCTGGATTATTGCTTCTTACCTGGAATGAATGAACAAAATTAAGGACCTGAAGAGACAGCTTTCTACTGGAATGTAAGAGTTTTTGAAGGCTGTCAAAAACAAAACAGAAAAGCTGTGTCCAAGGTGCGCTCATTTTTACTAGTGAAGTAACACCATAGTAACTTGCGCACAATTAACTCTAGTAGTACCCAACATCACGTGATAGTTAAAAGTTTTCACACAGAAAGCTTGATAATATTGCCATCACTGAAGAGGTGCTCAACTCATCTCATCTGCTCTTGAGTCTAGTCAGTGAAATTCTGTTTTCCCTATCATTTACACCATGCTAAAGTGAAACTATTGTAACTGAAAGATTCCATTTTACAGAAGATACTAATATATTGGACTTTATCATGTCTCATTGTGGGACAGTCTGGTAACATGACTTTTAAAGAAGCAGATTATTGACACACTGTTAAAAAGCAGGTAAACTACTATAAAAAAATCCTTAAGCCATGTTTTCAAGCAGCCTTATCTTTGGTCTCTAGAACCAGACTCTAGAAAAAAAAAATAAGAAGCAAAAAAACCCCAAAGAAAAACACAAACCCCAAAATCCCATTGTTTAAAGAGTAATCTTTCATAAAGAAAAGCTACAGTAAACAGCAAAAGATCGCTTGATCATAAGCCATGACTAAACTAAGAAAATTCACATAACAGCTAAAAGCATTTTATATCAAAGCATTACCAGCAAGTTTCCCCCTGCCCAGGAACAGGGGCAGGGCTAGGGGGCCTAGGAGGAGGAAAGAAAGCCTGTGCTAAGCTAGGAAGGGGAAGTGAGTAGGAAGGCACCCAAGTTTACTTTTTTCCCCTGATCCGTTCATAGACAGTTTATTACAAAAAATTAATTTTCACTTTGCAGAAACTATAAACTCAGCCTAATCTTAATCTTAACACAACTAAGGACTACTAGATTGTACATCATAGCTGGTATCTATGAGCCAAAAAGCGGCCACTTTACACACTAGAATTAGGTACTCTATGAAACTTAACTCAGTTCAGCTCCTATAGCCATCAGAGTGGTAGGTATCGTCTTTTGCAGAAGCTCTAGGCATAACACATACATCCTGTTAAACCTGCAGCAGGTAAATTACAGCTCACCTTTCTTTTCTACATAATCCATGAGTGGCAATTTTTCTGCAGACTTTCTGATTCAGCTCAGAGCTGAAGAGTGGAATGCCAAAGCATAATTCCAGGGGAACCCATTCCAGTTCCGTTGTGGGTACTGCAGAAAGAAAATCAAGAGACAAACAAATTTTAAGAAGAGACAAAGCAAGAATATTAATCCCAGAACCAGTTCTCTCAGATCAGGCTCCATTGGACAGTTCAGACTTTTTAAAACACAGTTCATTTACTGAACTGCTCAAAGATTTAAGGGAATGTGAATTTTAAGGAGGAAGAACACTTAGCATTGCACTTACCATCCCAGGCAGTAATACAACAACAATATGTGTTCAGATCCTTAAAAACAAGATAAGTCTTCAGACTGAAAATGTTTAGTACAAGCCACTTGTGTTTTTACCTTCAAGGCTTTGCTTCACTGCAGAATCCATTGAGGTTTCTTCTATTACCATCTCAAATGATTCTGTGCTTCCATTTACATCAGATCCTGATGCTAGTTCAGCCTCTCCTGAAGGTAAAGTAATTCTTACATAAACATTTAAGTGAATCTACATTTAGATATTACCTGATGTAAGGAACACGACACAAGTTTTGCTCAAAGACCATACAGCTATAAAACTGGAGGAAGGGATATGGAGAAACATAGGGCCTGACTCGTTTTAGGACTAAGGAGACACTTAGGGAGCCTCAACACACTTAAAGATTAAGTTCTAGCATATAAAAATGGCACAATTTACATTTAATGTTTTGATTTTTTTTTTCTTTTATTGACTGTCCCAGTCCAGTGATTTTCAGCCTGTATTTGCTATGCTTGAGCTAGTCACAAAGAAGAATTAGGAAGTAAATTTGCTGCTAATAGATTCACACTAAAGAGGGGTTCCTATCTATGTTGGATAGTATTTTATAGCGTTCCAAATCAAATCATTGCAATCCTTTGTTTAACTTTGCTGAAGTGATTGTATGCAAAATAAAGAGAACACAGCCAAAAAGACAATTATTGGTAACTAACCTCTTCCATCAGAAGCATCGCTCAGCTTTCTGTTAGCATGCCGACTTGTAGGATTCAACATAGTGACATAGCCACAAAAATGCTGCAAGTCTACTTTGTTTCTCAGTATTTTTAAAGCCGTATGAATGCCCATGTTCACACGAGAGAAGTCTAGTAGAAAACAACACATATTCCAGCTTACTTTACTAGAAGCCTCCTCCACAATAATATAGTTTGTCCCTCAGCCAGGCTGTTTTTTAGCTGGATTTTCCTCTCTTGCAAAGCTCCAGGCTAATGATCACATTCGTAGATCTGGGATAACATGTAAGTGATCACAGTCTTCCCACACCAAGCACTAACTGGTATTTTATAGTACAGTAAAAGAGCAGAGGAGGAAGAAACATACAAACAGAAGACGATCTCTCTCTCACACACAGACACATACAGACAGCAGAGATGGCAAGGTTCAGCTAGGAATCAGATGTCCAGCTCTTTCAGTGCCAGAGTCTTTTATGGCAAATTCAATACAAGATACACGTTCCACATATCTGAAATTCTGAAGAATTAGAATACAGTATTAGAGGGTAACAAGGAGTTTCAACACTGAGTTGTTCATGCTAGAACTTAAGAGATTTTGCCTTCAAGGTTTTTCACCTAGCATAAAGTTGGAAGAAAACAGACATCCCAGAGAGAGCAAATATAAAAGTATCTCATTTTGAACCCAGTAAAAACTAGGAAAATTAGTTAATGAGCTTTACTTCTAGTTGGCACAGAATTTTTTAAGTGGCAGCTTAAATAATTTTACATTACATACCTAGAAATTCATACTTTTATGACAGCTCTCAGCTGGGAAGGCTATGGCCTCAACTATCCAAATCTTATGTCCTACTCATCAAGGAGTATTTCAGAACATGTTAATTCCTGCCTTTCAAAATCAGCTGAGTCAGGCAGACTGTGAAGAAATAGGAGATTTTGCTAGCAAAACTCTTCCTGAGTAAAAGACTCCATAATAGTTCCTAGTCCTATTAATCAAGATAAGCTTGTTCAGTTTTGGTCTCAGCTGTCTTACAGTTAAGAGATGCTGAACAGAACATACGGAAGATTTATTTATGCAGTTAATAAATATGCTAGTTAATAAGCAATATTCACAAAGAAAGATTCAGAGGTGTTTGTGGAAGTTACTTCTTTACATCCATGCTAGGAGAGAAAAGGCCAGGAAACACATTCTAATTAGGACAGAGAAGACAGAAAGGAAAAGCATCTCTAAGCTCAGAACAGACTTGTCAACCATTTAAATATTCTTTCAATTTTCTCATGTAAATTGACTCGTAAGTCCAAGAAAATTTGTATTAAAAGGATTATTGCAACCTTACTGCACAAGGTAATGTGCAAGAAAATTAAATATGGTGGTGCAGAGATTAAAGACAGTCAATTACCTCCCTGCTGCTCAGCTTCATCAAATGGGAAAGGTACGTGCATTGTTTCTCCCATTCCATGCATGCCATGCCCCTGAAGATCAAGGAATTAAATTAGGAACAGAAAAATATAGTCATCAGCTTAGCTTAGCCCTATTTGTGCTCCCTTTTAGGGAGTACCTGTCAAGCTGATGAAACAAATAGGCAGATTGAGTTATTTATACATTAAAGTTCTTGTTTAGCCGAAATAAGTAATTAAATAAAATACCCCACCCTTCCCCCTAATATGCATGCGAGTAAACACCATGAAGTTAAAACTTCAGTGAAGAGGAGCAATTCTTCTCTCCACTTACTGGTTATAAACGGATTTCCTAACCACTGAGCACTTCTGCAGCAAAACAGAGTTTCCACCCACAGTACAGAACATTTTTGTGCAGTCAAGGCTGTCACAAGTGAGCCTTTGAGAACGTGTAATTTTGTTTGTTATGATATTAAACATCTATTTATTTGAATGATTAATTCTGAGAGTTCAGCTGAGCCGAAAAAACAGAAGAGGAAGCTATTTTACTTCTCCCAAACAGACAAACCCACTCCATTTCTGTTGTTTGTGATAAAGAACATGTTTTGCTCATACTTTAATGTAAGAGCTAAGTACCAAGCACTCTGAAAAAGTGCATTTCTTGAATAACACTTCATACTCCCAGTTACCTTATACCGCTGCTGTCTAAGAAGCTCATGGGCTCTTCATTTTCACTCCAGTGAAATCATAGCAGCACTGGCTCTTTGCAGAAGTGTAGCTCTCTTACATTGTTAATCTTCTCTACCATGTAACAGCTTAACTCAAAAAATTATGCATGCTTTTATCATTTATACAGAGCACTGTACCTGAATTAGAACAGCAGAATGCGTTAAAGCATCATTCAACATTGTGAGCACATTTGAAGTAGGAACTACTCCTGGGTCATGACCCCAAGATGTTATTAATAAGCGATCATAACCCTAGAAGAGAGAAATTAAGAGTATTTACAGTAGTAATGGACTATCCAAGCACATAAAGTGAAGTACTAGAGTTAGGCATTAGCACATTGTTACAATTAGGCAATTACTGCAAGTAACTACAACTTTGTAGTGTTATACTTTGTACCAAGCATCACTCATGTTCATATTCCTGGTAAAGACAGAAGTTTGCCAACCTCCAAGCTAAGATGCTATTTTGAACAGGAGGTGTCTGTCACTGATTCCTGTAGAATTATGTGACCATCACAGCAGCCTCCTAACAAATCAGAGATGAAAATAATCCCACATAAATCTAAAAGCAAAATATAAACTAGACAAACTAACACCAACGACAGAGAACAAAGATATCCCCAAAATACCTATCCAGGGGGGAGGGACAGGAAGACAATAAAACTGACTAGGAAGTACTTTCCTAGTTTCTCAGTTTTCAATATTGAATTCCCCTGCATCTCCACAAGATTTCTAGAAATATCTTGACAGTTTCCTAAGAAAAATGACACTGCAAAACAGTACTGGAAAAAAGCTCCAGTAAGTTTGTGATAGTGCAGAATGTGAGATCATTTAGTACAAGAAAACCTGACCTATGAGTTCACTGAGATTCAAGCAGAATAGAAGTCTTCCAAGGCTACCACCCTGAATGCTCTTTACTAATAAAGGTGAACAACCCATAAGTGTACTGGCAGTTTAAGCCAATGACAGACTAACTTTATTCAAAGCTCATCACCAATGGCCTTACAAAATATTTTCTGCGCTAGAAGCCTTGATTTACTTAATCCTATATTATTTTAAAGTAAGTCTTAGAAATAGAAGTGTCTATAAAAATTTTGAAATCTGAAAGGGAAAGAACACGTGAAAGAGGTCTGACTAATGGAAAATGTATCTACAAGTCCTAGAGCCAGAGATGACCACTGAGGTAGGTACACACCAAAGAAAGCACATCCCTCTCTGAATCTCTCCATACCGTTCTAATATATTTAGCTCAAGTACCTACTCAGAATGAGGAGATGAAAACTGTAGAGGCCTCTCTGCAATTATAAATTTGAATGGTATTATTTTACGAATTCCATCGTGAGCAGCAAGACCCAAGCACTGATAAGTGGCTGCGGCATTTCAAATCGAAGTCAATAGATACAAAAATTTTTGGTTCAGGCAAGTTTGGAAGTTGCCATGGTCACTTCCACACAGGTTTGCCTAGTATACAGAATACCTAACAGTACTCCTTTGTGGCACATTTGGCCTTATTAGCATCTTAGAGACAGAATGGGAGAAGGCAGCATCTGAAGTCTTTCAGGCATGAGTTGATCACCTGCACTGTTTTGTGGGACTCCTTGCCAAAGCACTATATGGATGCTAGTAAGATAGGTGGATGCAAGACTAGAAGGAGTTCGGGAGAGCAACTAACCATTGCAGAGACAGTAATTCCAGTCACAACCTCTATATACACAAAATCACATACAGCTCAGGAAGTTCCAGACCAGAACATGGGGAGGGCTGGAAAGGTCTGAAGAGGAAGTATTACATATTGTGCTTATTCTTCCTACTTCCAGCCACTGCTAGAGTCAGGCTACTGGGCTAGGAAGACCTTTTGTCCAACCTAGTGCAACCTTTATTGAATTATTCTGTCATTTAAACTGCAAGGAGAATTACAGCCTAGAATTTCAGTGCCTCCATCACAGATTTCTACAGTGGACAAACTGGAAGGGATCATCTCAGCCATCTTCTAAATGAGGCAAAGTTGTATGTAGAGGTGTCCTTTCTTAGGTGATACTAGAATGAGCACAATATACTGTGCCTCTATCTTTTGACATAGCTCTTCAACATCTTTGTTACAAATTCTAGGAATGGGCTTACAAACCTATATTCACAATGACTGCAGCACCACATTTTAGACTAAAAACGAAAGGGGTGGCGTCAAATACAGTGGAGTCACACTGTGACAAGAAGAGAGACATAGGTAGCACTCCTTTTTCAGAATCTAGAGAGAAAACAAACCAAGACGCTACATAAAACTTGCTTCTAGAAAACTTACATCATCAACAATGCATTATACCTCCGACTTCAGCTGTTGTCCCTGAACAGCGTATAGCATATCTTTGAAACCTTTGGAGAAGGGAGGGAGAATAAATCCATGCATATGCTACCTGAAAAACATCTGGAAGTTTTCGAAGACGTGTTCCTTTAGAGAGCAACAGAGAAGGTGGTCCTTGTCCAGTTATATGGTAAATATACAGTTTGAACCAAACTGAACTGACTTCTGGTATCGCAGGTCCAATATGCTGAAGAGATTATTCAAGAAATTAGAAAGAACCTAATATTTCAACTGTTACATGTACAGATGACATTTAAGTATCAAAAGTTTTAAAGAAATATAAATCTAGTTTTGCAGCACAGGAGTTCAGATGCATTACTCTGCTACTGATGATATTCTAGGTACTTAGTCCAGTATTGCAAGAAAGGTGATAGTGAGGTATTTTCTATGAATGTAAATTCAAGAACAAAATATCTGTCATTGACTCTGCTCAAACAGATAAATTGTTGATAAATTAAACAAACATCATTTACTAAGTATTCACATTCTTCCTCACTGAACACTTTTTTTAGATGAATTGCAATACTATTCAACATACCGGTAACTGAGTGTCTTTAAAAGGGACATCTAATGGATACATCCAAAACAAAGCTATTAAGAAGATATTATGTTACTAGATTCTGGGGGAAAAAACCCAGAATTTTTTCACCTGGGGTGTACAGCTGCTAATAGGTCGAATTTCATTGGTGAGTGGTGCCATGGAAACCAGCAGAGTATAATTTTTGTTGAGAACTCTGCTGCAGGTAGCTGGATCCAAGCCGAGCAAACTCTCACATCTTAAGAGGTCCAAGGGAAAACCTATGTTGAAAATGTAAGATTCTTAAATTATCACTTGAGATGGAACATACAACACAAAGTATTATTTCGGATTTTCCATTCTCCCCTGCTAAGCCATAAATACACTATTTTCCACAACTAAGTTCTAAATTATTGGGGTGAATTTGAGTAAATCTGTACATAATTTTAGCACAACAGCTTTCCTCACCAACTAAATGATCCCAGGAAATAAGCACAAACAGAGATACAGAGGAAAGTAAGGTAAATAAATAAATAGATCTGCCCCCATTAGAAGAATACACTCCCTTTCATGACTTGAAAAATGGTTTTTTTGACAGAACAACTCTGAAAAATAAATGAGTCCTTTATTAGGGCTTTCAGAAGCATGTAATTTGAAACCATCTCCTCCACAAGTTCAGCTATAAATAAATAAATCTGCCCCGATTAGAAGAATACACTCCCTTTCACGACTTGAAAAATGTTTTTTTTGACAGAACAACTGAAAAAATAATGAGTCCTTTGTTAGAGATTTCAGAAGCACGTAATTTGAAACCATCTCCTCCACAAGTTCAGCTTGTCTTGCCATCATTATAGAATCATAAAATCATTTAGGCTGGAAAAGGCCTTTAAGATCATTATGCTTTAATCTGTTTCTTTGGACGTTAAGTCCAAGGCTTGGCAATCAAATCTGTCATTCAACAGGCAAACCCAGTAATGTGGGCTCAAAGGATGATGAAAGTGATGCTTGGGCTTCAAAAATATTTTTAAACAACTAGGATACAGTTTGCTTTCTGAAACAGCAGCTTAATCAGAAAGCTGAGTCCATGCCAGATATGGAAACAAACTTGAAAGGGTTTCCTCAGAAGCGTTCACAGTACCATTACTTGGTTGATCAGGCTGTACAGCTTGTGCCCCTAGGTCTTTATTATGCCGCAAAAACAGTATCGTGTTTCTCAGTGTAAGTGCATGATCGAAGTACCGCTGTGCTTCCCCTTCACCTGTGCTTTGAACCTACACAAAAAGCAAAATAAATGCATACGAGTGGCATGTTGTTTCCATAAGCATCAATTACACAACAGGAAAGATTAACAAATTAGCATTTTAGATCTTTGTAACAGAGTAAAAACCCTGCAGCTTATACGCAAAGGTGATTTACAGCAACTATTAAATGAAAAGAGTCTTGACCATGCTAGTCAAACGGTCAAAAAGCACACAAAGACAACGTCTATAAATCAGAACTACAACCCAGTCTTTAAGTAAAAGTATTTAAATGCCCAGTCATCCTGACTGGTATAAAAGGATACAGCAATTGACAGCAGTCCTCCCTACATAGTTCTACAGTTGTCCTTCTAGAATTATCTTTAAAAGGTGGATAGGCTAAACATTCCAGCACCTAATGT